GGTTGATAGGTTGGTCTATGTCTATACATCCACTGATTGCTGACTGACCTGAATGACAAGCTACTTGGAATTCTCTGACATTCTTTGTGTTTCCTAGCTTCGCCTGAAAATTTTACATTGTCGAAATTGAATTCATGTCCATAATTATCCACGTGCATTGAAATGAGTGATGAAATGTCGTGACGTTTACTAGCCAATTGGTGTTCATGTAGACGAAGGCGAAGAGGGCGGCCGCTTTGTTCAATGTAGTGTTGACTACAGTTATTGCAGTTGATTTTGTAAATGATATTTGCTTTGTCTTCTTTGGTTGTTGCATCCTTTGGTCTGCATAATAGTATTTGGAGGGAATTTGTTGGTTTATGAGCCACACCAATTCCAAGTGGTCTCAGCAATCTTGTTGTGATTTCTGAAATATTCTTTATGAACGGTATGATGATGCATTTATTGATTTCTGTTGATGACTTTGTAGTTGATGGTGTACGGGATAGGCATCCTGTGATAAAGTTTCGTGGGTAGCCATTCTTCTTTAGGGTGGACATCAGGTAATTTTCTTTCTTTCTTCGTGAAGTTGTTGTGCTGCAGTGTGTTCTCGCTCTTTTAAATAGAGTCTGCACGCAACCGATTTTGTGTGTTGTTGCTATTGTAGCTGAGGATTTGGTCAGTGTGTGTTGGCTTTCTGTACACTTGGGTTTTCAGTTTTCGGCATTTGTCCTACTGACTAAAACGTCCAGGGATGGTATTTGGTTGTTTTAATCCTTCTCCATTGTGAATTTCATGTCATAAAAGACGTTGTTGATCAAACTGAGTGTTTTTGTATCATCTTTTTTAGTGATGATATAGAAAGTGTTTAAGTTAGGAAAACTCATTTTTCATAAGTGCAATATTGCATCAGATTGTGGACACGAAGTCAGTAAGATGAAGTTCATGACAATATTAAACAGACAGAAATATTTTACTCTATCTTAGCATTGTCAAAGATCTAAGGACTGGGTCATCATCACCTAAAAGGCAAAAGCCCTGAATTATGAAGACCACCTACTTTGCAACGAATGTCGGTTGGTGGCTATCAGTAGAGCTTTTGACTCATCAGATGGGTGCACCTGGATCCCAGTGGGTGAAAATCCTCCACCGTGATTCTAACCAACTCCCTATCGCTTCAAACAAGAAAAAATTATTCACTAGACCATTTAGACTTTAATGATTCCAGGGCACTAGGTTCAAGTCTCAGTGGAAACACCATCACTAACTGAGTTACAGCCACATATATTTGGTGATTCCCAAACACGATGAAAAGTGTCTCATGGGTTTCACTACTAGCCAGTAGGTAACTTGCAACATAAAGAATATTAAGGCGATAGCAATGCATCCTCAAAGCAGAAGTTGAGCAATTCTATCCGGTATAACAATGAAAAATCCCAGGTATCAATATATGCGAATATTACCTGTTATCTATTGGCACTACACAGAGACCAATCTATTCTATGCAGTAAACCAATGAAAGGAAAATCACAAGTACCAGTTAGTTACAATTGATACTCATTACACAGGAAATGGTTATCGTGACCCGGTAGCCTAGTGAATAGCGCACTAGCTATCGAAGTATTTAATGCTGGATTGACATGTCACTAGAAATACTGTCACTCACTTAGAAGTAAGTAAATCTAGTTAATGGGTACTTAAGTAAGACGACATATACATCTTTGATAAAACTGCTAGCTACAAGTAAACAAATGAAATCTGAATGACTACTTTTTTTCCAAGTACTGTTCTCCTTGGAAATTCCAAGTTCATTAGAGGAATAAAAGTGTAATTAAGTGTCAGTGCAGTTGTAACTTGATTTATCAAATTGGTGCATATTACATACTATACTGAGACAATACTTAGTAGATAATTAGTGAAACATGCTATGGTGTTGACTTTCCGGTCAATGATTTAAACGTGTTTTATTATAGATGGCATAGTCTAGACTGAAGGGTTAAACTCATCTCTATGATAATTTCTTCGCATAGACAGGATGTGAAAATTTTACCAGTAGAAGATGAAACTTCTTCTGCTTCAGTATCTAAAGTTGCTTTATTCACACTATTTGCCATTCAGCTAATTACCACGAGACATTATTAGGCTATCATAATGTGAAATCAGCTATCTCGCTATACGTAACTTCTGTCTATTGTGTGATAACTTTGTTTTGTGTAGAGGACAAAAAACTGAGTATAGGTTTTTTCTACTTATTAATTTTTATGTAAAATACCTTGTTTCAACATATTCTTTTTCCGATCAAAGAAGAACACGTAACACGTGAATTGTTTAACGTGGAACAGAGGAATCCACTATTATACAGATGGAATAAAAATAATAGTTGTCAGTTATAATCTAAAGTATTATGGAATGTGAGTACTGTTCACGTGTGAGGTCTATACATAAACACACTCACACGTTCCAACATAAAAAAAACACCCAAAGTATACACATCACAAATATATCAGAAGAAAAGGAAGTAACTGTCATATTGTTAGGTCGGAATTTTTGTCGCTTTTACGCTTTTTTTGCGAAGTATTAAGAGCACCGTGAATATGTCTAGCGCATTAGAAAATTTGAAGTTATCTAACCGTGTGCACTTAAGAGTTGCATTGACTTGTATATAAAAAGTAGCATAGTAGGCAAATAAGTGGAAATAATTCTGATGTTATGGCTAAACATAACAGTGAATTGATTACCAGTAGGATTAAACTAAAAACAATGCAGGAATTTACACCTTTACTTCATACAATCATACTTGAAACGTACACCAAGCACACCTTTATGTTGTATAAGGAGAATAAATTTATGCTCCGTTATGCATAAATGCCATTTCATTTACTTTTGACAAGATAGATATTTGCATAATTTCCCCCTCTCATAGTCTACCATACCAAGTAATCGCTAACATTAGGGCGGATATAAACTATTTCAAAGTTAAAATGGTCAGTATTACGAGTAAGTGACAATCAAACTGAATTAAAGCAGATTTTTGGACATATGTACAATATGTGCATACATAAACTTCAAAGGCATAAAAGTGAACGAATTCCTAGTGTTATTGTTTACTAGTATGTAGTGGTTGTGGTCGTACACAAAATGATCGTATACACTTATCATGAATACATGAATAACACTTTCTTACGTTGATACCTACAGACTCCTCACTAATATGGAGCCTGAAAGGTATTTGCTGATGTATCTCTAAATTTTTAAAAACCCAGTAAGCACTATAGATTGATTAAAAGAGCAGATTTGTTGGTCTCATACTGAATAAATGTAAAACACCTAAAATAAAAGAGATGTTAATAATAATCATCCATTTTATTCTATTCTCCTTGATGTTTTTTTCTTTGTTTTGTTCTTATCTTGAGCAACAAGACTTTGGAAACATTTTAAAATAATGCGAGAGTACATGATACATAAAGAAGACATATCTGAAAGATTAAAACAAAAAGGAAAGGAAGAATTTGATGAAATACTGTAGGTGAAAAAGTGTTTTGTTGGCCCATGATTATAGCAGGCCACTTCAAGAATTCTTGTTGTTTTTTGGTCTTCAGTCATCCTTATGACCGAAATTGTATTTCAAATTCCCATTACCTATAGGACATTTGAATTAAATTACCGTCTAATTCATCCTGAATTTTGATTTTAACCAGAAAGTATTATAAAAATAAATCCTAATATAATCCCAGCGTGTAGGTCATAGCTTCTTCAGCAGAATATACGGATTTTTATTAACATCAAAATATGTATGTTATAAGATATATTCTAGTAATGACTCAATCAGACTTGGCGCTCAACTTCTTCAAGGGTATTCGTCACAATTATGGTCTAGATGCTCATAATTTTAACCCGTTAGTAATCTAAAACTGTAAAACTATGTACCACAAAAATTAACGGAATACATATGTATAATTTGACATTGTAAGAAACCTGTGGATATTTCTCAGTTTTCTTTGTTTTTATGAGTATTTTAGCAATAAAAAACATCTACCAGCCTGTTAGTTTATCGTCAGAGTTTGGAAAGCACTTTAACATGGCTAATGAAACGTTTTTGTAATCGATACATTTGGTGTCAACACTTAACAGTTGAACCCCATATTTTGATTTGCCGCACAAAATTTGTATCTGAAAATTTTATTGTTATGATTTGATGACAGTAAAAATATTGATGTTAAAAAATGAACTATGAGGAAACTTTTTTTGAGGGAGTTGTGGAGATTTGGGAATATTTCAAGTTGTTATTCATTGTAGACTGACATTAGTTGGAGGAACAAGAGAAACCTGGGACCACTGAACAGCTGTTTCGTCCTCGTATGGGACTACTCAGCAGTGAGCACACACCACCCCACTGCACCACGGATCGAAACCACAACCTTCTGGTTCCTTGGCCAGCACGTTACCAATGAGCCACTGGGTCAGAATCCAATGATCCATATTTCCAACTTATGTTAGCTCACGATATAGTGCGACCGCCACCCAATTTCATCATTGAGTAACTGTCTTCACGACCATCAGGTTTTGACTCCACCGGTCACGACTTCTCATTGTAACTTCGAGAATACCTCTCGAAGCTAGTCACAAATAAGCACCAGTTTAATTGAATTTTTTGCGAGGGAGTTGTGGAGATTTGGATTCGTTGGAGTCAAAGCCTGATGGTCGTGAGGACAGTTACTCAATGATGAAATTGGGTGGCGGTCGCACTATATCGTGAGCTAACATAAGTTGGAAATATGGATCATTGGATTCTGACCCAGTGGCTTATTGGTAACGTGCTGGCCAAGGAACCAGAAGGTTGTGGTTTCGATCCGTGGTGCAGTGGGGTGGTGTGTGCTCACTGCTGAGTAGTCCCATGCTAAGACGAAACAGCTGTGCAGTGGTCCCAGGTTTCTTTTGTTCCTCCAACTAATGTCAGTCTACAATGAATAACAACTTTAAACCTTTTTTGTTTACATATTTATTTTCATTCATATTTTCAGCTAAAAGCAACTGATAAAGATGTCAATTCCACAATCACCTATTCAATGGAAAATGTTGACTTGAATGCCACATTAAAATTTTTCATTGTATCTAATGGACAAGTGATTGTGAAAGAAAAGCTTGATTATGAACAACGTAATTCATACAGCATAACAGTACGTGCAAGTGATGGGGAATTTTTTGCACTAGCAAAACTGATTATTACAATTTTAGATGTGAATGATGAACCTCCAGAATATGTTTTAAATCCAAGCCAGTTGAATCTTATCGAAAATAAACCTGCAAGAACATTAATTGGTCATGTAAGTTATAACCAGAAGAATATATAAGTTTATCTGAAAAATTTTGATTAAAATTGCCTTGATAGTATTTCTAGACGGATTCTATGATTATCATGATAGTAGCTTTTTCAAGTTAACGACATTTTGGATAACTAATCTAAAAATTATTTAAAAAATTGCACTCCCACACTGAAATTTATTACAGCTAGGTAGTTTTTTAACTGCTCAACAATAGTTTCAGTTAGTGTGAAGAATTTGGACATCTTAGGTAATGATATCGGCCTCAAATCGTTCCAGTAGGCATGTGATGATAGTTCATTCTACACTAGCTAACAGAATCTTTAGATCAACTTGAGTGTTGTCTAGCTAATTATAATTTTCAGTAGCATATTTTGAGCCTTTTATTTTTCACATAATGAGGAAAGGTAATATGAAATCAAAGTGCTTCAAAGTGTCTGGCTAGTGATGAACTATTTAACTTCAATTTCAGATATGAGTCTTTTTGGATAAATTAAAGAAACTCTTGAAATCAATCAACTTTCATAAATCTCCAAACCGAAATAGTCCAGTGGTCATTTGTACCCTACTTCACAATGACATATTCTGAAGTTCAAGTGAGAAGTTAAGACAAGTGGAGCAAATCAAATGGGATGTTATTGTGCGAAGGTCACGCCATATTGCGCGCCAACAGAAGTAAAAATATGTGGTCCAACGGATTAAGACTCAGTTGTTGAGTAGTTAACGTGTTCGCCATGAGACCTGACGGTCAGTGATGTGGGCAGCTGAAGAATACGATACTGGAACAAAATAGGTATTTAATTCTCTTACGTCCTCAGTGATTCTACAAGAGATATCGATTCGTGGTGACGATTGCTTTGAAATTATATATGCGCTGCAAATTTCTGTGATATAAAAAGTATTTAGACCCCTTTATTTTTAGCAAAAGGTTTCTGTTCTTCATCAGTGAGGAAGACATTTGGGGGATCCTGTTGTATATTGACGTTGGATATATGCCTGGAGATGATCGTCTTTTACGCTTATGACTCTTTTCATCAAATATAAAAGTTACTCTCGACTCCACAAATATGATAAGTTTAAGTAGCCGCTAAAAATTATTCTGGCATTCCTCAAAACTAGACGTTCAATTGTAGCGTTCCCTTGAACTATGAATAAATGGAGAGTGGAAAACTTAGAATTCTAACCGAATAGGCTCTTTTGATAAATGCATTCTGTACTTTTCACTTTGTTGAGTGAGATTATTTATATAAACGTTTCTAAAAGCTAATTCGATGCTTGCAAGCATAAAGGCAGATTGCACAAAATCCAGGAAGACTGAGCCGTACTGATAGATAAGACATTTAAGATTAGTCTCAATGTCAAAGGTTTATCATCATTTCTGCGATGCAGATTAGAAAATAACTAATTTGTAAGAAAACCCCTACTAGAACACCTTTTGCATTTTTATCTAAGAAGCAATTTAGATTTAGATAATTTTCTACTAAACTCTGTTGCATGAAACGGGAGGAAAGCAAACATTGAGAGTTTTAATGGTTGATGCGTTCGCTGCAAGACCTGAAGGATCTGAGTTCGAGCCCTAAATGGATCGTGGACGCATACAGTTGAGGACTTTGGCGCTGGGAAGGAACAACTGTCCAGTTCACTTAGGTTTTCAATGCTTCTCCAACTGATACCAGTCAGTCATGAATACTACCTTGAAGAAATGAAATCTTCATAAACCTCTGCTATCAGTTTCTTTGCTTAGCTAATTTTCTCAGTTAAGAGAAGTGAATATTTTAGTCTCATTCAGTTGAAATGATATCTAGTTACTTGTAATCCTACCTAACAAGCATGAAGTAATTAGCCAGATAATTAACATCAGCGCTGAATGAATATGTTCAATACTTTTGTGAAAAAGAATGACCACATCCTGGTAGGTTAATAAGAAGTTTGCTTCTGTCTACCAGTTAATTAAGTTTAAGTTCTAAGTAGTTTTGTTGATGAAAAAAAAGTCAGAATTTTCATTATCGTTCCTAGTTCTTTGTTTACAAGGATACCTTGGTATCAAGTAAAAATGGTTCCAGTTATGCTAATCCACCTACATAAATAATAGCCAGTAAAAATCCATCCAGATTAAAGCAACTTCTTGACCATTAAATTGTACATACTAGGATATCTTTGGATATTTATCGGGTAACTATGGTTAAGTTTGTAAATATATATATATATATATATATATATATATATATATATATATATGACTTCCTGTGGTTCAAATAAATGTCTCACTGTTATCTCTTTTTGCTACCACCAGTTTTTAACCAGAAAAAAAAAATTTTATTCATGTTTGAGCTGCTGAAAGATTTCTGATGCAAAATAGACAATTAAAAACAGGTTTATAATGTGACATATGACCAATTTCATTACATTTTGAAGAAAATTACCAATTTCAACTTGTTTTATTTTCGAAAAGACAACTTTGTGAAATATTTTCAAGCATGACTTGAAAGTTGTTCATATTATTCAGTCCTAAGAATTCTTTTGAATAATTTTCAGCTATAGATTGAAGCAGAGGAATAGAAGAAATGATTGTTTAGTTAGCTATCTAACCGAACGTTGTGCAGTGCAAGGAAACGCCTAATCAGCTGATCTTTTTATGTCAAGCCAATTCGAAATATCTGTGGATATTCTTGCCATAAAATTTTATAAGAACAGGTTTCAAAAGAAATAATTTGACATTTAATTGGTAACCAGTATGACATAGTAGTAGTAACGCGATAAAATTACTACTAGTTATGGTTTTCCGCAATACATAAAGGCGTCTACTGTCATAAGAAATCTTCTTAATTAGATCATGTTATTGAATCGGCTGACTACACATTCTCACAATGAAATTTTACAAGATAATTGGGGGTCTTAGTCACGTCCAAGTTTGATATCATTCAGTTAGGAAGTTCGTTGGTATTCATCACAAACTAATTTCAGGTAAGGAATCATTGAAAACATAGTAGCCATGGATATCTGCTTCGCCTAGTATGGGAGTCCTCAGCGGGATGCCACAGTGGTCCCACCAAGAACCATCAAGTTTCATGGAGTGCACATGGCCATTAATTCTTAGTGAAAACGATTACTATGATGATATCATTTCCATTAGTTTCATTCATAAATCACAAAAGTGCATGGAGACCAACATAATTAACAGAAAAATGTATAGAAATGATTTTCAAGATGAAATGTAACCAAGGGTAGTATAGAAAAAAGTGAAAACAATGTTTAGTATCCAACAGAATATAAACCAAATTTGTGAATATCAATGAAGGAAGGATTGACTTTGCTAGCTAGTAACAAAAGCTCAGTGATTTCCTTTTCAACACATTCTCCATGAATTAGGTAACAGCTTCTTCAGTTTACAGAAGATAGAGCCATACCATTTCGTAAGTTTGTTTTCACTTTTCGAATAGCCTAGAAAACTGTATCAGTTGTAGTAGTGTGACCAGTGTCAACAAGCTGTTCAATTATTTCACTTCTGCAAATACTTTTCAGCCAGTTGAGATAATATTTGGAAAGGATGTGCCTCAAAATGACCAACATATCTGACTCCACAGGAGAAGATGAATAGATGAACGCACATGAGAGTGATCAGACACGGTAATTATCCTTCAGGTTACCAGAAATCATTGGACGATTAGAAAATACAATCTTCAAGGTTGTCCTTAAGAGGGTTTTCTATAACGAGTTTAGAATTCATTCTTTTAGGATTTCAGCAACCACACCACCTTAGAGTCAAGATTCATATATGGCCTTTTGAAGATGATAGAGACCTATTTTATGGTTAGGGACTTATGTTTCTGTCCGAAAATCATACAGGATATCCCTATGTATGTATGTTGTCTTTGCTACCGAGTGACCCGATTATCGCTTTTCACTTTCTTTCTTATTATCTGCAAAATAGTCTTGTCTTTCAAAAATAAGATACTTTGTATTCGTATTCACGTCCTCAGAGATGTACTAAGAGACTTCTACCACTGCATATTTCACGAGAAGTATGTATACATATTATAATATATAATATGCGAGTTGCCGAATGATTATAAATGAAGCATTTCTCAAACCTTTATCATAAATATTATATTTTATCCAATAAAAGAGCATGAGAATAAAAGCAACATGATTCATTACCAGAAAAAAACGCTCAACAGTTGAAGTAATCATTTTCGTTTATTTATTTAATTATTCAGCTTCTTGTTATTGATCGTGACAGTCCAGAAGTCAATGGTCAAGTGCAATGTGAAGAACCATCTGATTTAGGAGGAAAACAACCAATACTTTTTGTTCAAGAGTCACTTTATTTAAATCAGCGATCAGTATCATCGTCTTTAACATCAAAGCATACGTCGTATACTAGTGGTAATTATTTGCCAACAGGTCCATTGCTATCATCTAGTTCTGAAACTCATATCTACCAACGATTCACATTGTATAGTGGATTTGAATTTGATCGAGAGAATGGACCAGATAAATATGAAGCAATTTTATATTGTTGGGATGCTGCATCCACATTCTCATCATCAACATTATCACCTTCAGCTTTATCAATACATACAGATCAATATTTACCATTAAATTATTCAAAATTATCCAATGTAAAATTATCTAGTCTTACAGCTACAATGACGATCACTTTACATGTAACCGATGCAAATGATAATCAGCCAATTTTTGAGAAACAGTACTACAAAACTGAAATTAAAGAAAATTCTCCAGTTGGTACTAAAATTATTAGGGTATGTTCCTCGTCAAATTTCTCTTTATTATTGATCAATACTTGTGTTTCGTTTATCTAACTTTTATTTGAAGCAATTTCAAGTCCACATTTTAAATTATCAGTTTCAGATTTCACTTTAACTAGTATGCTTAAAAAGTTGGAAGTCCTCTGAACAAAGCATAGAAATTCAGATTTAGATAACCGTTGAATAATGCTTAAAATCTGGTGATTCTATGATCATGATTTCGCTCTAGAAGTGCATCTCACTGTATCATACATTTTTCAAACATTTTTGATCATTGAATCCCATCGGAAGTTAATCAGTAATGAACAGATGCTAAAGGTAGAATTAAAATCCCAAAAAATTAATTAATTTTCTATTTATTATTAATTTATCCATGCTTGAATGCGTTTAAAAATTCAAACATTCAATGCTATATTTCAACCTTTCTAAAAAGGTCATTAGAATGGATCTGTCCTCACTTCCGTCTTAGTTTTTGTCTAGATGTTGTATACACCTGAAAGATCTGGAGGTTAACTTTTGTTTTAAAGCATTTCATCCCTGTGGTAAATATAAATAAGATACTCGAATGACCAATATTGCGAGATAATCTAATTCCACATTTTTTGTCCAGTCATATCAACTAACTAAGGTGATGATAATAAATTATTTTTAAGTGAATTCAGGGCTTGATGAACAGCTGGTTCTAATAGTTTACTTCAAAGAGCAACAGTTTGGAGACTAGAAGGCCTCTGATTCGAGTCGTATCACAACTTTGATGTGAAACTCACCTCCAGTTGTCATCTCGTGTCAAAAAACTAATTACTATTGCCTGGTTGGTATGGGATAAACGAGAAGAAACCAATGGAATTAAATGTCTACGTTTTGACAATGATCTGGTCAGGTAAAGGAAAATGGTGTAGAAGTTCAGTTTCGTAGTTAGTAGGAGGTTATATGCTATCGACTGCATGTTTAAATTGAGGAGAATCGTCAACTTAGACAGTAGTTTGTCATTGTTGTGATAAGTGGTGAAGTCATCTGAGTACCCATCAGTTCTTAAAACTAGATATGTGCACAAAATATTTACAAATAACCCATTAATTCAAACTTGTTAGTCATTATGTGATCATAGGAAAGGTACAAAACGGAATTACTACGCAAAATTTATTGTCTGCTTGATTCCCGCTGCTAATTTAATTTTCCTTTCCTCTAAAGTCAACCCTATTGTCTTTGCAAATGATGAATTCTAGAGAAAAATATCTCAGGTTTGTATATATCATGGACTGACATAAGTACGAGAAACGTTGGAAACCTAGAAGGACTGGACATCTGTTTCTTCCTAGTATAGGACTCCTCATTAGTGCGCATCCCTGACCCAGCCCTGCTGTGATCGAACATGACCTACAGGTGACACAGCCACTGGGTCGGAATCCAGTGGTCCATATTTTTAACTTTTGCCAGTTCACAATACAGCGTTACCTCCATTCAATGCCGTCATTGAGTATCTGTCCTCATGTTTGACTTGGTTGGTGTCACCGGTCACGACTTTTCACTAGAACTTCAGGAATCATCCCTCGAAGCAAGTCATCAGTTAGCACTAGATTTATTCAGTTTGGAGGTCATGCTGTATTGTGAACTGACAGAAGTAGGAAATATGGACCACTGACTTCCGGTGCGGTAATTCGCTGCTAACGTGCTGGCCTCGAAACTTGAAGATCCTTGGTGCGATTCCTGGTGAAGTCATGGGTGACCACCGCTGAGGAGTCACCTACTAAGACAAAACGACCGTCCAGTGCTCACTGGTTTCCGACGTTTCTTCTACTGATGTCAGTCTATGACGAATATCAATCAATGAATCCTTACAAGCCCCGGACTAGGAGAACGTCTGTCCAGGACTGTACAGTTGACGATAACTATTGATAAGAATCATGTTGTTATTAATTTACATCATAGATCTATTCTATTACGTTGTTTTCAGTAGACCTACAATATATGGAACTCAGTATACACATAAGCAGGTAGGTTGCAAGTGTGGTGTAAAACAAAATGAAGACAAAAGCAAAGAAAAAAAATTAAAACAGTTAACCAATTAATAATTAAATCTCTATCTACTAAATTTTAAGGAGCAGAGGAGTAGTGAAGTGATGGAAACAACGATAAGAAGGCTTTCTTGATATATCTGGGGAAATAATTTTCGGAAGTTTTAACTGTCAATGAACAAAACTAGATGTTTTTAATTCTTACTAATTCTGCAATTTATTCAAATTAATTTTCAATGAAATGTTGATGGATAAGAGACAGAAATTTGTCTGAAAAAAAAACACCTTGCACTTCATATTAGCTGTTCTATATCGCCCACTTATGCAGTTTCCATGTGTTCAACCAATCGTCAACTTTTCAACTGTAGAATATCGGACATTGGTGATTTGTTTTTGGAGATATTCTAAATATGTGAAACTTTAATAAGGTTACCAACCACAACTAATAGATTATGAGACAAATTCATATTCAAACGGCGCTCGCATGACTATCATTGTCACCATAGTCTAAAATATAACTATTTATTAACGTATACAAACCTATTTTCAGGTTGGAATTCACCATAAGGTGACATCAGTTAGAGATGCTTTGGAAACCTGGGAGTAATACACAGCTGTTTCATCCAAGTGTGGGACTCCTCGGTAGTGTGCACTCATGACCTCACCAAAGGTGGAGTCGAGAACCTTCGGGTTCCGTGGCCACCCTGGAAACCTAAAATCAATTAGTAAATCTCCACAAACCTACTTTAAAGAACTGTAACAGATTGAAAGCTTACCATCGAGTTACTTTAAAGATAACCTCCGGTATGTGAGTAAATACTCTATTACTAATAGTCCTGTTTAAACAATCATTTCCTAAGTTTTACGGGTTCAAAGTTTTTTGTTCATAACTTTCAGTTAATCAGTGAAAGTGAGTCTACCTTGACAGGTTAATCAGATAAAGAGGAAGCTTTTACACTGTGTTTTCAGTAAATGTATATTAAGTAATTTACATTTCCGTAATATTTCGAGCGCAATCACTGACAGTGATCACATCAGCAGTCAGAATCTTAGTTTAGAAGTTTGTGGGGATTCATCCCTAGTGGGGTAGTAAGTGTATCCAACAAAATTCTACATATAATATGTCGATTTATCAAAATTTCATTCAAATATCAAATAAAGCATGTCAGACAAGTTAATGTTCGTAACTAACAGACAGAAAACACATCAGACAACCAGTTAGAAATGTAATTGCTACTGTATCATATATATTATTGTGATAAAGCATAACTTTGAAGTTTATAGCAGTTTGTTATGCCTCATTAAAGTGGGGAATACTTTTGGTTGGCTATACGCCTATGAATAACACTTACTAGTGCGTATGATTGTGAAAACAATGTGCATCATTACTTTCTGACTCAGCGACTCATCCACATCATTTATTACGCATGTGAAGAAGGTTAACTGAATATAGCTGAATGACAGTATCTGAGATAGTCATGATTTAGCTGAGTGGTACTGCTGATTCTGGGTAACTCTAATTCATCTAGAATTGAGACAGGACAAGGAGAACTGGTTATATGGCCAGTGCGACCTCGATGAATGACCAGTGATGTATTGAGAATTCAAATGGAAGCCGGAAGAAACCCTTCAACAAATAAAATGTTGACCTGGTCAAGAGATGGATCTTGCAGATATGCTTTCAGAGCGCTGCGCTAAGATACAGTAAGGTGACTTGAACCCATGCTAAAAATCCTGTCTACACTTTACCTTCATTTATCACCCACTATCATGAAAGTAACTTGTTGACCGAAGTGAATATTAGGAAAGAATGAAAATTATGGTTGTAATATCAGTCTTCTAATCCATTGTGAAAATATAACCCAGTGGTGTGATTATGGGTATCATTTTCGCTTCAAACACTACCGAAGTTAAAATGTTATTACTCAATGAGAATTCCTAATTAATAAAAAGACAAAAGAAAGAAGAATCTGGAAGATATTTTTCTTTGAGACGACACGTTTAACGCCTTGGTCGATAGTCAATGAAATCCTTCCTAATGGACATAATAACCATGGGGAGTTTATTGTCAAAGGTGGAAATTAATACTGAAAATGTATTATTATTATTTGTCCCTTGAGTTCCTAATGGAACAAAGGGCTTCAGTAGCACGTCTCCATTCCACTCTGTTCTCTGCAATCTTTAAAACCTGGCTCCACGAAAGGCCACAAGCTCTCATTTCTTCCTCACACCATCTCCTTCATGTCACCCTCGCTTTGGACGCCCAACTCGCCGTTCCCCATCTGCGTTCCACTCGACAACCTGGCCTGGCGTGTGATGTCCTCGAATGATCTTCTCTGTGTATCTCCAATCCAATCCATCTCCACTTTCTTCCAGTGCATATTTGTTGGGCGACGGGTTCATGCTTGGTTCGTTGCCAGAGTTCCTTGTTGCTTATTGTTTCTGGCCATCTAATCTTCAGTAACGAGCGTAGGCACTTGTTGCTGAATATCTGTAGTTTGTTGGAAATGCTTTGTGTGACGCGTCAAGTCTCTCAACCATCACATAGAAGCACTGACTCAACTGACATTAGTGTTTAAAATCTGGATGTTGTTCACGCTTTATGCTGAGTGGAGTGCAGGGGATCTGCACACTGGTTTCTGTGTAGTGAACGCCTGTCTTGCTGTCTTTCCGATCCTGGTTGATTTGACGTCCTCGACTGTGCCTGTGCCGCCTGTAGTTGAAACGATTCTGCCTAGCTTACGTAGGTGAAAGAGGCTACTTCCTTAAGGTCTCTCCGGTTGGTGGTGATTGGAGCTTGTTGTTGGTGGTGGTGGTGGTTGGGTATCTTCATCACCTCTGTCTTCTCTATATTCACTTGAAGTCCCGTCTTCGCTGCCCTGCATCACCTCTTCTGTCAACTTGTTAGTTTTCGCCTGTAGTTCTTCAAGTTTGTGTGACATTAGACACAAGTCATCGGCGAAGACTATAAATGTATAA